GGATTGTGAGATTAGATAGAGATTAGATTTGATTAGAAATGGTATAAATTCTGGTAATCTCAGGAAAATTTTGCCTTTATTTTTTTCATTGTGGTATGTGTTGGAACTACGTTATTTCTGAGTAAATGCAGGTAAGACACAGAGGGAAAAAAAAACGAAAAAATTGGTGAAAAAGAAGGAACCATGAAATAAAGGTTAATTACAGGTACGAAGGCGGTAAAATATCGGTTAAGCAGATTTTTAAAAATCGGAAAATTTTTCCTTATGGGAAATTTAAGGGGAAATTTAGGGGAAATTTCCCTTAGTCTTACGATCGTAATTTTGCTTGAGGTAAAAAGAAAATTATTTGGGGTGCAAAATAATTTTGGATTGCTTTTGAAATTCAATGGAATCAATAAAGGTATCTTCACGATAACAACAAAACACGTTATCTTCATGTTAAACCGTTTTGTCTCCTGTTTTCCCACGACGTAACTGGGGGAACAATTTACCCCCCATCACTTGAGTACCCTTGCCCGGTTACGTCTTTCACCTTGCCCGGATAAGGGTTAATGTGGCAACCCTATAGGTGACTAAGTAATGAAAATTTAATTTAATTTAAAAAAGATGGCTTAGTAGTAAGCGATAAGCGGTAGGGCAGTCGCCTAGATTGGTCTGGGTGGGACTTCCACAATTGCCACAATGGAAATCTAATAAAATTATATCTGCGGCAAATGTAAATTCTCAAATTCTCTTCCCGACAATAGGTATACTTGCTCATTTTTCCACTCTTTCCCATCCTTCCCCCATCTGCGGGCGTTTTTGAACTTCTGGATCCATATTCCACTAATTAATATTTCTAATATTTCCCCCAATTGCAGGGAGATCCTCCTTGTCTTGAGTTTCTAACAGCCCCCTTATACAATAATAATAATAATGAACATTTCACAACATCAAGAAGCGAGGGAAAGGGACGAAAAGGAGGCAGACCCTTTCACGCGGACTCTCTCACCGCCTCGAGTGTCTTTAACCCTTTCAGACCTGGCGTCCACTCCAATGGACATTGCATTTACAATTGATGACTGTTGCATTGTCTATGGCAATTTCTTAGGATTCCCGTGACTTTGCGCTCCATATTACGCTACAATGGGCGCAATTATGCAATTATTAATTACTCAGTTCTATCAGAGGCTTTCTTTCCCCCATTAGTTTTGTCATCTTCAGTTACTTAATTAAATGTTTAATAAATAACATATGGTATGATAAGGTACATTTATACAAAATCTGAAAACTTCATATATAGCATGAAAGTTTCAATTACTACTGCGGAAAAGCTCAAAAATGGCAAAAAAAGGAGGATATTATCCCGATAGTGGCCTTCATTCAGGTGTTGTGTTTTTTTTTTAATTTTTTTTTTAATCTGGGGAAGAATTAAAGAAAGACTCTGCGTCCTGACGAAATTTATCTCCACGCCAACTTGTCACGGCAGATTGTCACGGAGACAGGCTCAGAACACTTCATCACTCCTTATTTACTTTCTTCGCAGATATATGGCTCATAAATCCTTCAAACATATCTCACACGGATCTGTGTGAGATATTACATATCTCACACGGAAAAGAAGGTGGGATTACGATTGCATGCAGGAAATTCTGCGCTCCTGCCAATCGCCTTCGCGAGCCTTCTCGCGAACGGATCGCGAAGGCATCGACATCCTCGCGATAGGAATTCGTTTTCGCTGTTTTCGTTTCTGGACGAATTTCCGCCTTCGTGGTCAGCAGGCCGGCCAGGATATAGAACGAATGAAATGAAATTAATATAAATAAATTGGTAAAGTGAACTCAGGGATCGGTTCTTCATTACTTCATTTCGTGCTTACTAATGATCAACTTCTATGGACAGACCTGCCTGGAACTACCAAGGTCACGGTCGAATGCTCCGCTGCATGGCCTGAAAGCACACACTAGCGTTCTAGCACACGGATGACCTATAAATCTAGTCCATTAATCCAGTTAATCCACGTCGCTCAGGAGATAATGATAACAATGGCGTCGTCTATCCTAAAAAAAAATATTACATGTATCTGTGGCCGTCTTTCGCTTTTTCCACGTCAGAGCCCTAAAACGGGCGAGAATTCATACCTTTACAATAAAATAACTAAATGTTTCTGGTAAAAAAAAAAATTGAGAACTAATAGAAGCGTCAGTTCGCTCTGTAAGACTGGAGACTTTCATAGCAGAATGGAGCGAAACAATAAGTGACTGAAAAGAAATGAGCTCCACCTCCCCCCCTCCTTCCCCCCCCCCCCTTCCCCCCTCCCCCTTCCCCCATTTCCTCCTCTTCGACAAACTTTTGGCAGGTTGATCGGCCAAGTTTGGTCAGATATGATAGCGACTTGGTGGCTGAAATTTTCAGCGGATTCTTTACTCCGCACCGGATCCTGATTCCATCGATGCTTCCATAATTTCGATGCATTTGGCATCTAAATTTTGCCTAATGCATCGAAATTATGGATCAGGGCAGCCGTCGCCCTCGAAGATCTGAGAAATTCCGAAAAGAGGAAATCTCAGTCGTTCCATGAGTTCTTTTGGCAGTAGAGACATGGGAAACTCCGGAAGAACGCGTCACCACCACGAAGTTGTGACGAAACGTTGCCAGCCATCCAAAATGTCTACCGTCGCACATAAAAGGAAAAAACTGTCTTACAACTGAAGAGATTGAGAACTCGTTCAACTCCCCTCTCAAGCGACGAGGAGAAAAAGCTCCACCGTGCCTCCTCCCCCAATCCTCCTCCGTTCCCTTTCTTCTATAGTCCTTCTCTAGTGATCTTGGTTGCCAAGGCAGACCGTCGCTGGAAAGTCCCCTCTCGGCGAGGAGCGATAAGGAGATATGGGGGATAAAAAGAGAAGCACGACATCCTCTGACCGACCTTCTCTTCCAGGCGTCGAGGGATCCCCATCGATCAATTTCTGCAAGGTAAGGAAGATCACCCACTCGACTTCGCTTCACCGACCAGAGCCTCCTCTTCCAGCCTCCGTGGGCGACGGATTCAAACAACAATTTTTTTTTGCATTGAAGTTTGCAATCGCAGCGATGAAGTTCCTGGCCCTCCTCGGTCTTCTGGCTCTCTCGGGTGAGTCGACACACGTCACGCGACGCCAAAGTGCCAAACAGTGCAAAAAAAAATACGCAATTTCGCCCAGGATGCGCGAGCGCCCTGGAGTGCTGGAAGTGCGACACCCCGGCCAAATGCCAGGACAAAGCCAGCTGGTCCAAGAGATCGTGCAGCGATACGTCGACATCGGACTTAAGATGGTACTGCACAACCGTCTTCAACGCGACTGGTGAGTTCATTTTATTTATCATGTAAAAAATAAATAATTACACGGGAAATATGAAGGTGATCTCCGAGATAATTTAGCAAGCAGTTCTGTTAAGTACCAAAGACCAAAGCAATTTGGCATGAAAAATGGCAATGACGTACGCATCCTATCCGAGGGGGCGGTCGTCCCAAAAATGCAAGTTATGCAACGGAGCCATAGCCCATGAGGAATCCATTTTAGAAAATTTTCACGGACGCATGATGCGCAATATGCATCGCATGGACGCATGATGCGCAATATGCATCGCATGGACGCATGATGCGCAATATGCATCGCATGGACAGGCGTTATTTTCCTCTTTGTTAGGGCATGGATCCTTATTATTCTCTCATGGAGTTCATTCTAATAAACTCGTGAATTCCTTAATCCTGGACCCTTTACGGGTGAGAGTTCCGTGGGATTTACACTTACTTATCTAAATCCCATGGAGCTCGCATTGTCGGTCTATAGAAATTTGGTATCAGGTAAGGGGAAAGATATGCGCGGCCAGCAATGAGTGACGCGGGGTTTCAAGATGATAAATTAATATAACTTATAATATTTTTCACCTAAAGAGGGAGAGGAAATTTTATTATTATCGAATTAGAATTAAAAATCAAAGCCCGTAGGATGTAATTTACGTAAAGCAATGAATGATAAAGTTTCACATTATATTTACATCAGTGTTACTTTTAAGGCCGTTATTGCACATTATCATTTTCACTGGAACACTCGATAATTGACGGATAATTGACGGATAATTGACGGGTAATTGACGGATAATTTACGGATAATTGACGGATGATTGACGGATAATTGACGGATAATTGACGGATAATTGACGGATAATTGACGGATAATTGACGGATAATTGACGGATAATTGACGGATAATTGACGGATAATTGACGGATAATTGACGGATAATTGACGGTTTAGCATACAAAAATCTTGGAGAAAACCAACTTTTCCAGGTTTTTGCAAAATAAATTTCTCGCCGCCGAGAAATGCGACATTCTGGCGTTCCGTTTAAACTGCAGCTTGCTGTCGTGCGCAATTGTTTTTGCGTGCAAATTTGCTTAAATCGCCGTTTCGGATTGGGAAAGCGGATAAGATTTTTTGCAAGCGAATTTCGGGGAAATGAAGCGGCAAATCCGAATCCGTTTTGCAATAACCAGTCCCAAGATGCAAATTTCTCCCAGTCGAAGCTCCAAGTGCTGAAGAATTCGATGCCGAAAGAGTGGAGCGAAGCCCCTCGCTCCCAGATTCCTAACGAAAAAATCCGATAGGATTGCATAGGAGCATATTTTGGAATCCTGTAGGAACTGGAAACCAGAAAAACCAATAGGAATCCCATAGGTATTGGATTTTGACCTCTTATTTCCGCTTTTTCTGGATTGCTTCGATATTGTCTTACGTGGGAATTCGTTCCCCGGGTCGTTTTCTTTTTTTCTTTTTGCCTGGCCACGGGGACTGATGAACCCAGGTACATTTTCAGTTCCAGGATTCCTCGAGAAATTGCTTCGTTCAATCATATTTTCACCACGCGTATCTGAATGTATCGTACTTTCCCGGTTCCCGACGAAAAATCCTACAGGATTGAAAGCCCCATGAGGAACCACAATTCTTATGAGAAAGTCGCGAGATCTCATGAGACCTCATGAGTTTGTAGTGAGGTTTTTTCAGCAGGATCCCATGAGATTCCTGTAGGAATCCTACGAGAATTTTTATAAAAATCCTATTAGATTTTAAAAAATTTCATAGGATCCTATGTGATGTTTTCAGCAGGTTTAAGCGGATCTTTTGCTCTTTTCTCTGAACACAAAGGTACGCATTGGAAAAAGGATTGCGAAGAATCTAAAGATCCGAGAGAACCACTGGACGGAAGCGACGTCGCCGACGCTCGGACGAGTCCGTCGTTCTGCCGCTCGACCGGGTCGGACATCACCTGCTACTGCGAGACGGACCTGTGCAACGCCGGGATGCCGCTCTCGCCCTCCCTGGCGCTCCTGGTCGCCGTCTTCGCGCTCCTTCGTCGCTGAGTGAAGCTGGAGAATAAAACTCGTTTTTCCTTCTTGGCGCTGCTCGGCGTTTATCCTCACGGTGACGCGGTTTTCCCCGCGGGCCGATTCACGGTCCTTTATGAAAGTTTTATTTAAGAAAAAATTTTGTACAAAATAATAAACAATTATATTCACAGTCTCTTCAGTATAAAATACCCAATACGAAAGGATCAATAGGATCCCCATAGGATTCTATAGGACAGCGGTGCACAACCTTTTCGCCCTCGAGGGCCAAATTGAGATTTTGACTCGTGTTCGAGGGGTTCGAGGGCCACAGGCCCTCAAACATGTGCCAAAATAGGCTGTATATGATTATGGATCTTAAGAGACCGGAAGCATCCAAGGGGCCTCAAAAAAATGACCGCGGGTTGTACATCACTGTTATAGGAAACGTAGGTTTCCTATAGGACGTTTTCATCAGGGCAGACTGTCTACAGGTCGGAGAAAAATGTAACGATCGATTCCCGCAATTGAACATGGCGCGCTTCACGTACGTTTTGCTTAAAATATACTTGAAGAATTTATTTTAAAAAATATATTCTTATTTCCTCAAAGAAAAAATATTTTTGCTCACTATTAATAAAAATAGCGAAAACTTAATGCTAGTCCCTACGTGACTCACTAACGTTAGACCTAGTGTAGCACTCCTTAACACTCCTCGTGGTCTTTCTGATTGAGATGTAATGGTCAGATCCCTGGAGTATCCGGCAGGTTAGAGTGTCTAAGGTACAAGGCTTAGGGTTCCTTAGGGACCCTTCACACAAGGATCATGGGCCCTTTAAAAAGCAGCTCAAATAAATAGAGATAAAAATGGCAATAAATAATTTTGAATTTACTCTTGCAAGATGTATGAAAATTAGACTATTTGGAAATATATTAAGATTAATTTTTTCTCTAAAAAGGTTGTAAAAGTTTAAGATCCCAAAGTAAAATATCACAGGGGAGGTATTGCCAAACCCTTAACAAGATTAGGAAAGTCTGGCCGGTAAGGCAATTGGGCTCCTTACCCCGGGAGGGCAAAGCAAAAAAGCAAAAAAAAACTGAAGATTGAGAGGTGTCGGGCCGAAGAGATGATAGGCCAGTTGCCAGTGCCTGCAAGAGTCTTATAAAATATATAGGCTGGGGCCGACCGAAGAAGGGTGACCAAGAGAAGTTCAGTCGGACCCAAGAGCCAAAAAAAAAAACAGGGGTGGCAAACGAGAAAAGCCCGGTCACCTCGAAGGCCCAATGCACACTCCCCACGGAAATTTTCTTCCCGGCTTCTTCGATTTTCCTCACAGGTTGCTCGCTCCCCTTCTTTTCGCACCATTTCACCAGCACTTGTTAATTTTCGGGTCTTTCACAATTTCATAGCATAAGAAGTTTCTCCCGCCGGTTCCATGTCGAGGGGCTCCCTCACCAGGCAGCGAAAGAAGTTCAATTTAATAACACATTTGTAATTTGTATTATTCCGCTTCGTATTCCTCGAGTAATTTAACGATTCCAAACATTTTATTCTCCCCTTGAGTAAATCGAACTCACGCCTCATTGCCCATTTTGAAATCCAAAAACTAAAAAAACTAAGCTCGCCACCATTTTCCCCAAAGAGATCCCGATCGGTCCCTCCCATCCGGGAGAGCCTTTTTATTTTAATAAATAAATAAATAAAGGGATCGGGCGAAGAAGGCAAGGTCTCCTGATCCTCGCGGGTCGGTTTCCTTCAAATCCAAAATCAAAATCAAAAGTACTGCGACGGTACTGCGAGGGTACTGCGATGGGACTGACTCGACATTGTTCGTGGAGATAAAATTGGTACACCGTGAGCACATAAATTTGCGATGAATTTCTTTCTGTCCTACGCGCAATGCAAGAAATTCTAATCCATGCAAAATTCCACGGAACACCCAAGACAAATATGACAGAAAAAGGCGGGAAAAAAAGGAGCACCGATGGAAGAGACATCTTGAAGCTGACTTCAAGGGGGGAGGGGGTGGGGGGGTGGGGGGAGGGGAGGGGGATGCACGGAACCATCCGGTTTGCAAGGCAAATGTTTATCACATACTTTAATTCGAAGAGCCCGAGAGTTGTGGTGGTTGTCACCCCGACGCGTGAGGCCTACGAGACTATGTCACTTCATGACATAGGCTAGGCCATCCAACCCTCAAAGCGCTTGGTCCATTTGGCTAAGCCATCCTTGGCAATGGGTTAGACCATCAACCGCTCAAAGCGCCAAGTCCATGGGGCTATGTTATATTAGGCCAAAGGCTTGACCATTCAACGCACTTAGCGCCAGGTCCATCGGGCTATATCAGTCTGAGCCATAGGCTGCATACTTAGTAACACCCTTTGCTTGACACAGTTAACTGAATGCGTGTCACGTTTTCACTGATCGACTGGAAGTTCTTCATTTGAATACATTCCTTGCTGAGGTGTTTTTTTCTGTACTTATTTTTTTCCGTCACGTCAGACGTCGCGATTCGCGCCATCGCTTCCACGCAATAGTTTTTTGTTTGCGTGGAAGCGATGTTCCTATCGTAAAAGCAAAATAGAGAAGTTTGCATTTGATGCTTCCCAAATACTCTTAAAAAGAGGATAATGGATGAAAGCTTTAGGTGTCCACTCAACACGAACGACAGGACACATGCGATCGAGCCACTTCTTGAAGGATTGGTATCATCCAGGATATCCTGATAATATAGAAATCCTGGAAAAATGATGCAGTCCCTTCGCTTTCCTTGGTCTTCCAATTTTTCGCAAGTGATGATTCGAGTTCTGCCTTCACTACTTGGGTTCTTCAAATCTCCCACTTCTGGAGACAGAAGTACCAGGTATTGCTAAGATGTCTCCCATTCCCCACTAAGGGGCTTGCACTAGGAAAAAAAGCTTGGTTTCGAGCCTGGGTCCCCTGTCATGGGAGACAAGAAAGCTACCAACCTAGACATTCCCCAGCCTCACACCCCTCTATGACGTCAAAATGATGCGCTTTCCTAAACTCTTTTCCCGCGCACGCTGATGAAGCGCCTATTTGCCCTTTCATGGTTTCTGTGCAGACCTGCGAGGGTGCCCCCGTCCCTGCTTGGGGCATATACGTAATCCAAGGCCTGGAGTTCTCAAGCTTAGAGCCCTAGTAGGACTCCGAGCCGGCCGTGTCAGTTCAACACGATTCGCGGCTCAGAGCAGCAAACCGCATTCGACGATCGCGTTCCCAGTCAAGTGCGGGCCACAATGCAAATCGGGCCGACCGAGTCTCAACATGGAAAAGTCCACCCCAGCAAGCTTCTGACGCGCAGAAAGACAAGAACCCATAGAAACCACTTTCGTAGCACCTTTTTTGGAACTTTCACTTAATATGTATCGCCTCCCGGTCATGTGCTTTCGATTGACACTACACTTATTAAAATATGTTCATCTGTCAAGGAGGAGTTTCCTAGAATGATAGACAAATAAGCCTATTATGTACAGGATATGGATATGGTTATTGATACGGATAACATCAGATGGTGTTATCTGTACTGTAGGTATTGCGTTCTGTTCTCAGGGGGAAAGTCTTAAGTGAAAATATTATCCTTGCGCTGCCGTTATTGAAACAGAGGATAGGGTAATCTACATATAACTTGCCAAAGCAGCACCGGACCGAGAGAAGGAAAAAGCACTGCAAAAGTTGAAATGACAGCTGCCAAGCATAAATCGGCATATGCTGAAATTCCACTTGCAAAAACAGAACATACCTCTCTTTCATCAGGTTCAAGGGATAACTGCAGCTTGTGTCATCATTTCTGTTTTATTTTGTACTGTTCCTTTTAATGAATCAATCTTGATGTGTTACCTCATTCCAGCTAGGATGTGGTATCCTCAAAGACGAAATCTCTGGGGATCATTTGAAGCATGCAGTGTTATATCACTCCATGAACTACTACCTGTGACGGTCTTGCACCTAATTATTTTTAAAATCACGATAAGCAATGGGGATATCGAGGATCTTTGCAGGAGAGCCTATGAAGCCGAAACAGTGAAGACTATCCTCGTATACGATCATTTTCATGGCATACAGGATTCAGAGCAGTGGGAAAATGTAAAAAATGATTTATTTTGTATTGAGTCAACTTCCAATATTTCCTACCATTGTCATGTGTATTTTGGAGACAAGTGTGTCCTGGACAAAGCCAATTTAGTGGTATTTTCATGGGCGATGTGGGATAGAATCAAGTCATCCAGGGTGCCGCCCAAGAGAAAGAACCAAATTTGGGCTTTGTTCACACAGGAGTCCCCGATGTTCAGGTCTAACTTGGTCATGTCCATCGACTGGTTGATAACTTATGAGTCAGATGCGGATATACGTTGGAGATATGGGCATATAACACCAGAAAAAACCAACAGTGCATCATATGCATATGAAATTCAAGTGTCACCTACGAGAAAATTAGGAGTCGCACTCATCAGCAATTGCAATGCGCCCAGCAAACGGGAGGATCTCATCCGAGATTTGCAAAATGAAAATATCACTATCGACGTGTATGGGAATTGCGGTCAAGGAACAGTAAACGGGACTTTCTCTGGCAAAAATCGGGTTGACGCATATATATATTTGTCGTATCGATATAAATTTTACTTCGCATTTGAGAACGCTATCTGCCAAGACTATGTGACGGAGAAGTTTTACTCAGCGTTTAAATATCCTTGGATTCTGATCGTTCTTGGCGGTGCCAACTATTCCATGTTGACCTCTTCAAAATCGTATATCAATGTTATGGACTTCCCTTCAATCCAGAGTCTGGCTAAGTACGTAAGGTACCTATTCCGAAATGAAACAGCATATTGGGAGTACTTGACATTTAAATCTGATTACAAAGTGAATTTTGAAGATAATTTAGGTTGTAAATTGTGTATGCACCTGCACAATACCACAGCTGAATTTAATAATCAGGGTGCTGTGGATCTTACGAAATTTTCAAAAGGAGAAAGGTGCTTCTTGCCGAATAGTACGAAGGACATTTTCTCAAGGAAATATTCCATGAACCTAACCGACTAAGCAAAGTTCGATCTTTCCCAGAATTCGAGTTCATGACTTTGATGAATGAGTTCATGATTTATTTATGAATAAAAGTATATCTTTCTACAGGTATTGACAGCATCAGAAAACGCTGAAGGCTTCCACTTCATACAAAACCTATACTTATTG